ACAGGTTTTGTGAGAGCTGGTTCATTAGCTTACCTATCTGACCGGTGCTGCTGGAGCCTGTTTGTAATTTCAGCCTCATTTATCTGCATTTACTCATTTCACTTTGGGTTTGAAGATTGGACATGCAAATTGTAATTACAACATGTACAATATAATTAGAATGAATGCTGCTATTAACACTCACATTAGAAATCATACGGCAGCAATTTGTCCTGTATTAAAGTCTGTCTGTTAGGACTTTTTTCAAGACTTTTGTTTTGCCATTTTTGCTTTTGTTTGACAATGCAGTTAAGATGAGAGGAGAGAGCAGGGGAGGGACTGGCAGTAAAGGTTTGGCCAGCTGTGGGTTGAGCTGGGGACTCTGCTGCCATGGGCATTTTAGCTTTTTAGGCAGGGCAGCATGATACATCAATTTAACTTTGACTATTGGGAGGTACCATGCACAACAGTCACATCGCAGGAAGTGCATTATGAAGTAAGGCAAATAACTCAAACACATGACGTTATGACTTTTTTTGTCGCTTGATACCAAAAGGAAACTTGCACACTGCTTATTTTTCATGACTAAGTTACCAGACTGCATAGAAGAAGTTGTTGAAGTCTGCATAAGAGTACATCGTTCACGCATTTTAGGGTTTTGGTTACAAAAAACAAAAAGTAGGTTAATTATTGGGCTGTGCAATTCATGAAATATTAATCACCATTATTATTTCAACACATACGATAATGTTCGTTCACCTTTCTGAGTGGAGACTAGAGGCTTCTTCGTGTGCAGCTGCCTGGCTAGCTTCCACCAGACTGTTAGGGAAGATTGGTAAACTCTAGTGTGTATGGATAAGCAGATGTTCAGCAAGTGAGGTGTTTTGGGTGCAATTAAATGTGTGAGTCCTTGTAGATGCACTGAATTTCGGTCAAAAAAAAACTGCATGCACAACATGGACGCAAAAACAGCGTTTTGTTTATTTTAATTTGAAAGTGCAATGGAAATATTTTGTCTCTAAAACAAATTAATAGTTGCGATAAATAGCTAATTTGATGAAAGTAATCTTCATTATCATTTTGGTCATAAACTAGTCGGTTGTTAATGTTGCAGCTACACAAAGGATGATGTTGGCCTAAAGAAGAACTCTGTAGGCAGCATCTTACAAAACCCACAAAAACTCTGTGCAAAGTGAGTGCCATCCCGAGAAGGCTATTTTGGGTGTCTTTATCATTGTAACATGATGTGAGAGAGTTTCCAAACAGTTTGAATTTTAAAAAGTCTTCGCAGTAAAAAGTCGTTATTCAGATTTGTGAAATTATTTTTATTTTCGGTACTCCCCTGCAAAATCACCACAGTTAATCTAGAAGGATTTTTTCTCAGATAGCGTTGTTCAAGTCATCTGATTGCATGAAAAGGAAAAGATCACTGTCAGTTTTTTTCCAATTTCACACAGCCCAAATTTGAGTCCATACTGAGTATGTCCTAAGCACTAGATCATCTAATGTTTATAGTTTTAGTTAATTTTATAGTACACAACCTAAAACCAAAACAGATCCAGCAGTTTATTAATAGGTTTGATTTTTTTTAAGGCATCAGCGGGGAGAGGTTGATTTGAAATTTTCCTTCACACAGTCCTGTCACACTGTTAGATCTGAAGCCAATATGGAGCCATATCAACAACTGCATCGACTGAAAGAAACTACTTTTGTCAATCTTTAAAATCAGTGAAGCTGGGCGGCACCACTTATGCAAGACAATCCTAAATCTGCTCCATGACAGTGTGATCATGGGTATTCATTACTGGGGATACGAGAATAACACCTCTTTGCTCTGTTTTTTTTTTTACCTTATGTTAATATTTTAATCTTCACTCAAATTTACATATTGGAAAATGCCAGAATTTTCTGAACCAAGAGAGACTGTGCTCAAAACAGGGGATGATTTCCACAATGTGTTCCAGCTGTTCCCTGTGTTACCAGATGGCTGGTTGATAGTTTGGCCTGTGGTTTGTGGTGTTCATGGTTCAAACCGTGCTCACATGCTCTCCGCTCATCAATGACAGTCAGTGTTTAGGTGTAATTTTGGAGGTCTGGTGCTTTTTGTGCACCTGACTCCACATTCTGGAGTTGCCATTTCTCTTCCACTTGCTTTTCTAAAAAAAAAAAAGTTTGACTAATTGCACAATTATTTAAAACTATTATTTGAACAGTTTGCTGTCATCATTATGTTGCAGAGGGTTGTCTTTTTTTTTACTGCTAAAATGTGAATTTGGAAAGTAGTTGCCATTATTTGTGGCTACAGTCACACAGTGAAAAGTACAACAATTAATGTTGATTGCAGCACAAGTTTAAAAATCTCTCAACTTTGAGTACAGTAAAAAGCAAATTCAAGGGAAGGTTTAATTACACTGGTAAGAGCGTAATTGTCTGCCATCAGTGGAGATTTTGCCGGATGTATTAATGTGCAGCGGTGAGGTGTGAATTTGAGCATCATCTTTACTTCAGTATTATGAAAGAATATAAATAATTGACATTTCCTTCTGTCCTTTTGAAGTGCTAAAGGAGTTTTAATTCTCTATTAAACTTAAGTGTTCCAAGTAGTGCCGGTGCATTTCTTAGAAATGGCTGCTGAATGAATACAACTTAACATCAAAACAGCATCTTTAACAATACATTTTCACAACACTGGATTCCTGCCTGTTGTGTAGCTCTGTAATTAACGTCGCCATCGCCAGTACATTAAACTTTCATGCTGATGGCTCACAGTTTGTGAATCTAATTAAGATGTCTTGCTAAGAAATGTTTTCTTGAGAGATTATGCTTGTTAGTAGTGGTGTGAAAACCGTATCTGAGTGCGGAACTTATGTCGGTCTTTGATTAGTCGGGATGTATTTGGCTCTGCACTGTTTCATCTCCTCGCAACCATCATTGTGTTACGCTCGTGGCCTGTAATTACAATGTTGTAGGGGTCTACAAACACGTATTCATTATCATGGTTTGAACAAAAGTGAAGTGTGGCTGCTGTTGACAGTGTATTTTCATCTGGTGGTGATTATTTTTCTCTGAGCATGTTGACAGAACTCTGCGGGCTGATTGTAGAGCCTTGAGTGGCTGCTATTGTGGCAGCTGGGCCAACTATTATTTTAATACATTCATTTTTTTTGTTTTCTGCCTGTCTGATGCATAGACTGTACAAAAGAGGTAAACGTAGCCTCAGGGTCTGAAAAGTGAAACCAACACAGAAGTACCTTAATCCTGCATTCTTTCTAGTAGCCAGCAGGGGGCGACCCCTCTGGCTCCAAAAAGAAGTCAGATTGTATAGAAGTCTATGAGGAAAATAAGCCTACTTCTCACTTGATTTGTGATTTGTTTATGATCTCAAGTGTCCTTCAATAAATGTTTTTTTTGTAAATTGTGGTCCCAATTAGGGTAAAATGGTCAATTAAGCAGGGCTTGTTTTAGGGTGAGGCTACATTGTGATTTGCTTGTCGCAAATAGGCATGCATCGCGTCCTCAAATTCTCAGTCAGATCCACCTCTCATTCGCTTCTGGCTCCAGAAAAATATGAAGTGTGATTCTTAAAATGCCAAACTCAAGGCTTCATTAGAGATGTCCTCAAACAAGTGGGTGTCAGTGATGTCATGGTGGCTACATCCACATCTTAGTAAGACCTATTCAGTCATGTTGTCAAATATATCGGTAGGTCAATTTATCATAAAAATATGAAATAAGCCATACTACTAGGAGAATTCCATCCATCCATCCATCCATCCATCCATCCATCCATCCATCCATCCATCCATCCATCCATCCATCCATCCATCATCTAAACACCGCTCTAGCCTATCCCAGCCGACAGAGACAGACAACCAAGCACACTCACATTGACACCTACAGACAATTTAGAATCACCAATTAACCTCAACATGTTTTTGGACCTTGTGGGAGGAAGCCAGAGAACCTGGAGAGAACCTACGCTGTACAGGAAGAACATGCAAACTCCACGCAGAAAGATCCCGTGTGCCCTCACCGGTACATGAACCAGCGACCTTCTTGCAGTGAGGCAACGGTGCTAACCACCAGGCCACCTTGCAGCCCACTAGGAGAATTATCAATGATAATTTCCTAACATTTTCAAATTAAACCTGGATACTCCCATGTCTTGTACAACAGGGGTGAATAATGTTCACAGAAATAATAAAATTGGAATTTTATGAAGGTAATTACTCTCTTGGATATACAGTGTGAACATTATGTCAAAGCTGATGTATTATTTTGTGACGCACAGACAGTGACTGATTATCCACCTGCATAGACTTATTATCTGCGGTGCTGTATTTGTTGTACAGATGCTCAAAAGTCCCATATGTGAGAAAATGTGTGGATATGAACTTGACACAAGTGCTGCCACCTCAGCACTCATACAGCGCATTAGGGATACGCATTTTCTTTCTTAAGTGCCTGCTAAAAGGATAGTATTTGCCACAAATGCATACTAACTATATTTTATCTCACTTTATTACAACTATAAAAACTGAGAATCATCTGTCTGTATTTTGAAGACATTAACAAGGTTGTTACATTATAAGACAGTGTAATAGCTCACCTAATGTGTTGTGCATCAGAAGGACTTTAAAATCTCTGCACTGTGTTATTGTGACACCGTCTCAGTAACGTCCTTACATTAATTAGTGCTTACATAAGATGAAAGAGGTCTTTGTGATACAGAAATAGATGTTTTCCAACAGTGCCCTTGAATGATTAGAGTAAGCAGATTTTAATTAGATGTAATGCAGAGGGCAGCCGATAAACTCTCTCTCTCTCTTTTTTTTATTTATTTTTTTGTCAGTGTCTTGCTGACTCTTTATTTGAAAGTCGCCCAGCACTGCATTTCATAACTCTGAAATGATGCCTTTTTTTTAAAAAATTTTTATTTGGTGGATACAATACAGGTATGAGAAATAAAGTACTGCAGGCTCCCATCAGTGACCTTGTTTTCATTATCTCTCTTTTGGCAGCACATCACCTTAGACAGCTACATCCCCTGCCTGACGGATCTGTGCAAGGCATTGTGGGAGGTGATGCTGAGCTACCACCGCACGATGCAGTGGCACGAGGAGCATGACAAACAGGAGGCCACACCCACTCCAGGTAGGAGTTTGCCACTGTTTAATCCTATGACCTTAGCAATCTTTCTGAGTTTATGTTACATATTCAGGAACCTTTTTTTTCTGGACCAAGAAGTTGCACAGTTCCCTCTTGATGCAATTACAGATTCAGAAATGTAAGATTCAGTAATGACCTCACACGTTTCAGATCTCCTCGAGCATTATTTGTACAATGTTAACACCTGCTGTCTTACACAAGCTAATATTTCGCGCCTTAAACTCTCTTTCCTTGTTTCATTCTCACACTCTAAATCTCTATTCCTCACCTGCTGCTCATAAAACAGCAGCTCTATTCCCTATACCCTAAGTAATAAAAATAGTTCCTCACAAAATCAGTTTACAAAGACCTGGAAATGAGGGGTAAGCTTTAGTCACACCCCAGTCTTTACCTGCTGTATGATTTCCATGTACAGCAGGTTTACCAGCTTAACAGCTTACAGAAAGGAGCGAGTGAACCCTACTGCACAAAAACCGAGGAAAGTATTGAATGTGTGGCTTTACTGCAGAACAGAACAGCATTATGGGTAGTGAAGTGACATATACTTTCCAGCATTTATTAAGTTCCCTTTCAGTGTAGAGGTCATTGAAAGAGTCTGCAGGATAATCACTTTTGATGACACTGTCTTTGCAACAACACAAAGAGATGTGCGTCCTAGTTCTGCGGCAGTATAGAAGCTCTGTGATAATGCAATAATGCAGTGTTATCAAATTTAAACTGCAACATTATATATTTAATGCTATCACTGACATCAGCACATGAATACTTTTCCATAATAACTGAACGAACGATCCGCTTTCATGCTTGGCTTAGAATGTGATCTCCTCACTTTGTCTGGCTTATTATTATTGTTTGTTAGCATGTCTGCTTCTTTGTTACATTCAGTATAGTTTAATTAGCTTGTGTTCTTGCTCAATGTACTGTCTTATTGTGTCTGTGTTGTGTTATCGTCATTAAAGAACCCCCTTGAAAATGAGACGCAACATCTCAAGGGGTTGCCTCTAATAAAGAACTTCAGAATCTGTACTAATTGTATGAATATAAATTATATGTTAACATTATTGAATTTATATTGTGGAATTAATATGACCCAGTTGGTTTCAAGGATAAACATATGCAGTGGTGATGAACCATGAATGATGCATTTTTTTTTTTTTTTGCTTATGGAAATGTGTCATGTATGACTTTGAGTTTGTTCTGTTTCCTTGCTAGGGCTTTTTAATCTAGGTGCAGCAGGTAATAATTATGCTTTGTAGCGATACCTTGACACAAATATGCAACCACTCAGACTAAATTAAAATCTTTTTTTCGTCTCCTAATGTTAATTTCGGTCTACCTTTTCAGAGACCTTTTTTGTCCTTCCAACGAAATCTATATTTAAAACTTTAAAGTCATCTCATAAAGTAAATAACTGATATTTTGTGACAAAAACAGTGTAAAGTACACTGCCTCCCCGCTGGAAAAAGGGTGTAGCTGCACTCACGTTACGGCACATTAAGAACAGCAAGACGACTGCGCAGCACATCTGTCCAAAGTCAGCCAGACTGTTCAAACATCAGCCCCGAGAAGCTCTGTTGTCAAGGCGATACATACTTTGTGGTTTAGCGTTAAGCTCTGCAAGAAGTTCAGTTTCTTACCACTGCAATAAAAGAAATATTCAGGATTTAGTTTATAGCACTTTTCACTTCATCACTGCTTATATAATTTGTTTTGCCAAAGGATTTGGCCAGGGATCATATGTAAATGGAGACCTGTCACATTAGCTTGCGTGTTGCCACTGCGCATTGAAAGACAGCTCATTTCCATTTCCCATACTGTACAGAATTCATTAGGTGAATGGATGAGGGCACAAAGGATGTCCTGAATGCTTGGTGACATGCTACGTTCTCAGGATCCTTCATTAGATGCCATTGTCCTCGGGAGGGGAAAGGACATCCACTGTATTCCCTTTCATGAGGCGCATCTATCATCTCACTGTTTGATTGGCTGTCACCTCTGTGCGTGTAAAGGTGCCCCCGACCCTGCCTCTGTCCCGGCTTTCACCTTTCTGTCTTCATACCTACACGTGTGTGAGCGTGAGAGAGGGGGCGCGGGGGTCCGTCAGAGTAGCGATTTACTGTATAAGCTTTGACTCATTTGTCGAAGAGTATTTTGCGGTGACAGCGACCTCCATCTCGCACAAGAGGCCATCGGGGTCCCTCCAGTCATTCCCGGTGAAGATCACTGCTTCTCGCTCTTTCTGACACGTCTCACCTATCACCTCACTGAGACAGCATAAAGAGCATCCCATTGAAATGTGAACGGCTCTGACCGCTTGATGTATTGCGTTGGTCAGTGCAATGTTTCAGTAATTAATCTCACCCACTTGATGAAAGGAAAGGTTGTTTCGTGAGGTAATACAGGGCCAGGGTCGTCTCCCTACCTGACAAAATAGATTTGCTGCTGCAGCACGAACCCTGTCATGGGTGATCAGCAGTGATGGCCGTCCGGCACAGCGGGGAGCTCCACATGTGTGGGATCTCTGTGTGGAACTAAATAACCAGTTTGTGCGTTCTTACAGAACATGGACACGAACTGTGCTGTAGTTGGAATGGATGGAGCCTGCCTCCTCTGTTATGGGTGTGAATTGGCCTTCACACCGCATGAATGTTGGAATGGTGGCCAGGCTATGTGAAATAATCTATAGTTCACTGACCACAATTACTATTATTCTTTGATTGATCTTTTTTTCATATCTTTGTATTTTCTGAGGCACCGCTCGAACCTCGTTTCTTTCTGCTGATGGATCACGTGTCCACAGTGATTTGATTCTTTGCCTTCAAACACTCGTCCTCGTCAAAGGAATTTCAGGTTGGAGGTTAGACGTTATACACAGATGCACACTTTTAATACATATTGGTTTATACGTGAATGAAATGATGTGCTTTTTATTCTCACTTAGCATCAAAACATCACTAAATTAATTATTTACAAATGTATAGTGTGATGTAGTGTAATCCATTAAAATTAAATGGCATTTATTATCCATGTGGTGCAATGCCATGGGTCAATATAGTTGGCAAGCTAATTTTTTACATCTAATTCGAATTTCTTATCATGTGTTGGCATCCCTTTGCTCTTCTGTTATCTGTCAAATTCATTTATGTAGATATTTTTGATCTCATTTATAGTAACACGTCTCTCTATCTATCCATTACAATGTGATGAAGGCTTTACTGATTCCATTTTGATTAGGGTGGTTTTATACGGTAAGCATCGACAATATTAAAACCACTGACAAGTGACGTGAACAAAATTGATCATCTCGTTACAATGCAATGCTTGAGTGGGAAACCTTGTGTCCAGACATTCATGTGGATGTTACTTTAAAATGTGCCACCCACCTCAGTATTGTTGTAGATCAAGCTAACACCCCAGTGGCATCCGTGTACCAAAGCGAGATGGTGTGCCCCACCATAGAAGCAGGAAAAGCTTGAGGAACATAACCAAGAGCTCATAGGCGTCCACACTCTCCAGGTCACAATCTGACTGAGTATCCACAGTATGTGCCTGAAAAAGCCTCCTAAACCAAAAAGACCAACACGATCCACTGCCAAATACCACAGGATACCCTAAGAGGTCATGTGTCCACCCCTCCTGATGGATCATAGCTTTTTTTGGTGGCACAAGGGAGATCTACACCATATTAAGCAGGTGGTTTTAATGTTTTGGTCCTGCCCTGCTTTGACTTTTCTCTTACTAAACTTTCACAGACTAATGCAAAGTCGTGCTCATGCTTCTGTTCTATGAGTCATAGTTTGAAACCAGTGGGAGGCCAGGGCCCCTGTGGTGGTCTGCTCTGTGAGTCACCCACTAAGTTTGTTACCCAAACTGTCTCCAGAGGTCAAACGCTGGTTACCACCTATGGATTGGCAAAGGGTGGCTTTCCCTATCATTTATCTCCGCTCTTATCACAATTATCAAGGCTTTCTATGCAGTTAACCTGCGGTGGTCGTCTGCACTCTCACCTGGTCAGCAGTGGGAGATCGCACTGACTTGAACTGCAGTGACAACAGCAGCGGGGTGCAGGGTAATTAATGGAATTATACTTTCAATAACAGGTGGAAAAGGGGACAAATAATAGAAGGAATACTTTCCTAAATGGAATAAAAACACTATGATTTTGAATTGCTATGCAAAGCACCAGCTTGTTTGTACTTGTACAAACCTGTGTACGACCTGTATCACAGTCGCAACACATAGTTTGTAACCGTAGTAGACCAAAGTGTAAATATTTTGTTCTTTAATTTTATTCTCACAAGTACATTCAACAGCTGGGCAGTGTGCAAATACATGACATGCATATAGGTCCCGAGTGACCAAATACATCATGTTGTACTTATTTCCTGTTTTGATAGACAAGTACATTTTCATTTTGTAATTACACAGATTCTTAGTTGACACTGCAGTATTAAAAATATTGCAATTAGGCCGTGCTCTTCCTTCTTTCTCCATCGACGCAGCCTTTAAGGTATACACCCATTGATCTCAGATTTCTGTCCTCTATTAATCATTCACAGTCTCTGCTCTCTCTCCTTTGCCAGAGCTCTCAGCTTTCACAACCTTCACTTTGTCTTTCCTAAAAAAAAATTCTTTTGCGCACACCTTCCACCTCCTCACTCTCACTGCTGACTGTGTGCTCATTAAATCAATCCCAGATAAGTCGAGTTGCCGCGTCCCGATTTCTCCCAAACCCTATGTTCGTTTTTATTTTAGCGAATGAGGCAATTGTTTTCTACAGCTCCGTCCCTGTTAATGACTCAAATCACAACCAGTCATATTGGGGTCCCAGAGACAATGCAAGCGCTTTTATTGGAAATTCTAGCAATACTTTCATTAAATGCAGCCACAATGTCATTCTTCGAAATGTAATATGTTACAGAGCGACAGTACAGGTAAAAAATGAATGTGGAGCACTAGAATTTAGAATGCGTTATGAACACATTCCCAAGAAGCAGGCGTCGGACTTGAATAAGACCACGTATTTCATATAAATTCAGACACGTAGGAAAAGCACGAGGTTCCTGTCACGTCCATTACAGAGTGTGGTGATTGCAATCAGATTGTGGGCGGAGAAGATAATCTTTCATGATAGTTAGGTGCAGAGAAAATTCTCGCTGGCCAGAATTTCAATGTGATCTGGCATTGTGAGAGTGGTATTTCCTTGTCCACCAAATAATCTTACTGGTCTGGTGCTCCAAGCGATCATTATCCATTCTTGATAACAGGAGGAGTTTTTCTTCTTCCTGGGAGTAAGAGACCGTTTCCATGATGTTGTACGTGACTCAGAGAATGCATCAGACCATGAATCTTGTCATTAACAGCATTGTGGTGCAAACCTTTTTTTTTTTTTTGCATTCTCAAGATTGTTAGCAAAGTTTTCCTCGTCAGTTTGTTGGACATTGAAGCAAACATGTAGGCATGTGTCGGGCCACACAAAGACAAACAAATGACAAATGGACTGAGCTATTTTGATATATTTGTCTTAGTTAAAAATGCAGATATTGAAGATTGCTGTATAGAAATGCCTGGACTTAATGCTCGGCTAAACTGCGTGTAAGATGGAGAACTGTAGCAGCTCTGGTCTGACTCTAGTGATATAGGGTGATGATTTTTGAACTTTTCCTCACCATAACAAAAATCCCTGCATATCCTTAAAGGTTACTGAGTTTAGATTAGGTCAGGATTCATGGTGTTTTTCACATTTGCACTCTATTTCTTGCATCTTTAAGTGTTTCTTTTGAAACTCCTTGAGGTGCCGTTAGATAGTATTTTTCTCTTGTTTCACCAACCAATCAATCAGCTTCAATTAACACTCTTCAAACAAATAGAGTGCTTTACAAGCAATTGAAAAAGATTGTGTTATTGTTGAATTAGGAGAGTAATGCACACCGAAACAACCAAATTGAAAAGATTAAAATAAGATGTGGGTAGTTAAGATAATAAAAGTTAGATAAAATATAATACAAGCAATAAAAATAATGAAATATGAAACTGTTGCAAAAATAAGAAGATTTAAGTAAAACAGTAAGATGTTAACACAATAAAATAAGTGATAATAAAAAATAAATAAAATAAGGAAAAATCTGAAAACTGTAAAATTAGAAATGCTCCATAAAAGCGAGAATAGATGTATTTTTAGTTTACAATCACTCTCTACTCACAGCATCTCAATTCAAGTGTCCCCGCTCACTCTTTCTTCTTTTCTTGTCATTATATTTGTATAATGACATTTACATAGCCTGTGGGCGTAATAAGATTTATGCCTGTACTTTTTTTTAATGGATGTGCTTTTTGCTCCAGTGTGTCATTACAAAAACAGCCTCACTGCCACAGATTCTCAGGTTGAAAAGGAACCTTAGATTTGTCTGCTATTTTTATATACAGTAATGTTATCCTATTAAATATTGTTTTTTTTTTTTTTCTTCCTGTTGTTTTTTTTTCTCTGAAAGGATGACGCAAGTGCAAAGTTTAGGCAGGAGATATTTATCGTCTTGCTCAGCAGACAAATTCCTGACCCAGCAGGTTCAGTGCACAGATGCTCTCATCTGACTACGGTTAGGAGATTTTTGAGTCAAGCTGAGTTAAATCATGTGTTTGTGTTTTTAAGACTTTAGTTCTTTCAGCCATCTTATTTCTCTGCAAGAATGCCTTATGCCTGTCTCCCTCGCTTTCACAAAGTTGATTGTCATGTATAGTAGTTAGATTATTGAACTATACTATTGTCAAAAGTAAAGAAGAAACTAATGATATTTTCTGCAGATGCTTTGTCTATTACTTGCTTGTTTGTTGTTTGCGCCTTAGCTTAAAAAATAAAAATAAAAATCCAGAAATAGACACAGGCCTGCAGTTTGGTGAAATGAGATAGTTATTGTGAATAAACTAATGCCATTTGCTTTCTAAACAGTTTGCAAAGATGTTGGAAATATCTGCTTGTACTTCATGAAAACTGAAAAGAGCAGTGGTCCAAGCATTGAACCTAGAGGCACTCCACATGGTATTTCAGCCTTGTGTTTGGATTAACGTGTTGCTGTCAACAGTCCTTAAACTATTTCAAAACACTGTCTCTTAAACCATATCTGGATATTTTAGCAAGCAAAATTTCCTGAAGAACTGTATAAAAGTCTTATAAAACATCATTCATATCAGTTAATAATACGTCAGTGAGATGTAATGGTGCTACAGAAGTTAAATGAGTTTTACAAAAGCAATGAATTTACCAAAAAAGTTTGGTATAACAAGAAAGGACTGAGGCTTGGTATTAGAAAAAATAGAAGGCTTCTTTGCTTCACAATGATTTCGGCTATCTTTAAAGGCTTTGCCACAAATCACCATGCTTAATGATAAAGTAAAAACGTCAATCAAGAGCTTGACCGTAGCATATCTTACATCCAACCACAGGAGCCTTAATTTTATCATACCATGCAGGAAGATTCAAGTACTTCTGTAACTCCAGGCTGTTTAGGGAGACTATATTAACTGAACATCGAGTCATTTCATTTTATGAGCTCATCTGCTGTAGAAACTGTTTTATATCTTTGGCCTTTTAATCGTAGGTTTTATATAAACCATACTGAGTGCTGGACTGTAGCATTGAGTTGGTTATCAGGATGCTACAGGAGACAGGAAGGCATTCTTTCCTTCAGAGAGAACCAGGACTAAGGCCTCCATGTTTACAATTATCTTTGCTGTAATCCAATCGGAAAACGAACAAGGAAAAAGCCATTTATGTAATGATTCTACACAGATAGTAAACATATATTTATTGTAGAAACTGTGA